TTTTTTATTTCTTAGTTCATGAATTGAAAGCTTGCTAATGAAAGTATACTACTGTTGTTATGTAACTAGCTCTTTAACTGTGAAAAAAAATGTGCCACAAAAGAGCCCTTAAGAATAGAACATATTTTCCAGGTGTAGGGGAGTATGCCTGTAATTCCAGCATTCTGGGAGGCAGGGTAAGGTGGATCTCTGTGATTTCAAGGCCAGCCTGCTCCACAAAGTGAGTCCAGGACAGCCAAGGCTACACAGAGAAACACTATCTTGAAAAAACAAAACAAAACAAAACAAAAAAATAGGAATAGAACATGGTTAATGTTTATGCTATTGAAAAACTAATTATTTTATCATTATATAATGTCCTTCTATATGTCATTGTTCTTGATTTAATGTTTTTCTGATATTAGTTTAGACATCCATGTTCTGTATAGTCACAATACTTTCAATTTTAGTCCGTGTTTTTTCTTGATTGAAGAATTTCTCTTATATATGGCCCATTATTAAACTCCATTTTAACCCATCTAGCCAATCTATGTGCTTTGATTATTAGTTTAATCTATTTAATTAATAATAATAAATTATATTGTTTTCATTTTGCTGCTTCCTTAATGATCCACAGGTTTCCTTTTCCTTACCGTTGCTCTCTACATTTTCCTAACAGGCTTTGGTGTTCCTTTTTATTTACTTTTGTGTTTAGATGTATCCTTTCTACGTAACATAATTATGTAAAACCATTTAACAGTGTATTATTTAAATTAAAACTTAACTTCAGTAGCGTATCATATAAAAGCACTACTCTCTTAAAGCTTTCTTTCCATGTTTTTCATCAGAAGTCAAACCATTATATGTTGCATAGTCAATTAACAGATACATTCTTTGACTAACTCTTTAAATTCCAGTTTCAAAATCACAATACTACAGATTCCTATATTTGTCCATGTACCTTACTGGAGATTATTTTTAAAGTCCATACTAAAGAACATTTCCTTTTTAAGTGGCTTGGTTTTGCTGTATATGATCCTTCCATTTAATCCTAAGGATTCTCATTTCTTGTGAGAAGAGTCAGTGAGAATAAACTTTTATAGATCTATCTCACAGTAATCAAAAAAAATTAGAAATCAACAGTTTTGCAATCCCACAACTGAGACTCCCTTCTCAGGTGACTCTAGGCTGTTTCAAGTTGAATGTTATTGGTAACTAGGACAATATTCACACTCTTGAGGTGGAAGAATCCTCATTGGAGAAATAAAATGGTATTTTTATATAGAATAATGAAACCAGATCATTATCTCTCACCTTACACACAAATAAACTCCAGATGAATCAAAGACCCCTCACATGAGCCCTGAAACTCTGAAAAATAAAGAGGAAAAAGTAGGGAGTGAACTTTAAAATCAGACACAGCTAATGACTTTCTGAATAGTACTCTAATCACTCAGGAAATAAAGCCCAAAACATACAAATAGGACCTCATGAAATTGAAAAGTTTCTCTATAGCAAAGGAAACAGTAAATTGAGTGAAAAAGACCGCCAACAAAATGGAAGAAAATCTGCTAGCTATTCACTCAATAGATGATTACTATCTAGAATATACAAAATACAAAATTAAAAAAACCTAAAACAAGTAAGCAAAAACCCAATTAAAAAAATGATGGGCTAAGCATCTGATTTGGGAGTTCTCAGAGAAATATTAGTGACCAATAAATATTTTTTAATTGCTCAGCATTCTTAGGTATCAGAGAAGTGCAAACTGAAAATAATTTGATATTCTATTCTCATCCCAGTCATAATGGCTATCTTCAAAAATACTAATGATAACAAATTCTGATGATCACTTGGGGAAAAGGGAATCCTTATTCATTGTTGGTGTCAGTGGAAACGGGTATAGGCATTACAGAAATCAGTGTGGAGGTTTCTCAAAAGCTAAAATTAGAACTATCATACTCTATTATTTCTGGAATTGTAGCCAAAGGATTCTATATCCTACCACAAAGATATTTGCACATCCAAATTTGCTACTGCTCTATTCAGAAGGGAAGGCCATCGAATCAGATTACATGCACATCAACTTATGAGTGGACAATTAAAATATGGTACATATATACAATAGAATTAAAAATATTATTTTTAATTATGTTATGTGTATGTGTGTGTAGGTATTGTCACATGAGTGCAGATATCCACAGAGGCCAGAGTTTTCAGATCATACCAGGAGCTAAAGTTACAGGTGATTGTGAGCCATCTGATATGGGTAGTGAAAACTGAACTCAGGGTCCTCTGAGAAATCTCTCTAGGTCCCCCAAATGGAATTTTATTCAGCAGCAAAGAAAAATGAAATTAGCAGGAAAACAAATGGAATTGGAAAATATTAAGTGAGACAACCCAGACCCACATGTCTTCACTCATATGAGGATCCCAGCTTCTAGTTTTTTTTTTTTTTTTTTTTTTTGTGTGTGTGTGTGTGTGTGTGTGTGTGTGAGTGAGTATAAAGAAACTAGAAATGGGGCCATGAAATATATAAATGAGGCTCAAAAATAGGGGAGATAGTAGAACACGCGTGATATGAAAATTGAAAGAAATAGTGACAGTGGAAAGGTTTAAGTAGGGATGGAGTATAGGAAGATGGAAGAAAGAAGGCTGTGGAGTGAGGATCAATCAAAACTAAGATAAATATGAAAAACCCATTAGGAAGTTTGTTACATCCTAAACAACTCACAGAAGACATGTTATTAAAGTAAAATTCTAGTGCCAGTGATGAGCTAACTCTCAATAAGTTATTGAGCAGGGAGGCTCCTCCATCCTACTGGAATACAGGCTATTGCCACTGTGTTTTGTTGCCCACCATAATTAGCTGATAAGATTCTATGCTGAAGATAATTCACACTTCGTGGGACATAGAGAAAGCAAGCTGGAACTGAGCTGGGAAGGTCTTCCCCGTGGGCTAGCTTTCATAGTTCTGGAAGGTGCTATAGAAGCTGCTGAGGCAAAACTGTCATTGACAGCCTTACTTAGCAGTCGACCCTCCATTCTATTCTACTGATCTGCCAGACAAGATGTACCCATGCTGATGCACACCAGTAGCATGACTGACTGCTTTGGGGTAGCCAGCTGCTTTCTGACTGCATTTAAGGTGTGCTTCACAGGTGAGAATTCACATTTGGTATTGTAAACCTGGTCAAAAGCCCATGGCTGTGGAGGGAATAAGCCCTAGAGAATCTACTGCTACTGTTCATTCTATCTAATCCTCCAGAGTGTTGGTTACAAGCATGAACCACTAGGCCTGTGTGAGTGTACACGCGTGCGTGCATGCACGCGCGCGCGCGCGCGCACACACACACACACACACACACACACACACAAACAACCGTGCATTAGTATTGTGTCAAGTACAGTCAGAGAAGTGGAGTTAGTGAAGTCGTGAGTATGTGCTCCTTCCAAGATTCACTAAACCTTGTTTATCTATATATAATCATCCTGGGTCCCTGTTTACCTGTATGTAATAACTCTATCTCTTTGTTACTCTGTATGCAATAATCCTGCTTTCCTACTAAACTGTAATAAACACTGAGCCTCTGCAAGCTACCCAATCACAGCATGCAAAAAACAAACTACCTGATTCCAGCTTTTCTGTATTTGTGCTTGCCCTTTCTTCACATCCTCCACACTGAAGTCAAGTCCCCAAAGCTTGCTGGGGGCACATCAGTTTGTTTTTGCACCAGCCAGCAGTTATGGCAGAGACTCGTAACTGGTTACAGTGCTGAGATTGTCACTGTTGAATGCCCATCCCTAATGAGACATCTATATCACCCCATCCAAAGCTCAAGAAACACTGCAGAAAAGGGAACGAGGAGAATGTAAGAGATGGAGGAAGGTGTTGTTGTGAAATGCTCTCTTATGGGAAAGACAGGATTACTGCACTCTGGAACTCTCAAAAGCTGTGGGCCTCTGACATTTTATTTTAGATGGCTGTTTCTATTAAGGCCTTGCCCTTCCCTGAGAATTTAGTCAATTAATATTTGCTTTCTTCCCCAACTCCTCCCCTCCCATTCCTTCCATGCATACAATTCTTTACAAATTATTGAAAAGAGCATGGCTTATCATGGTACATTTTAAAATCAGTAGTTCAACACTTCAGTTCATGTGTTGTACACCTGTGTATGTATGTGTGTACATGTGCAGAGGCCAGAAGACTAATATCAGATTTCTTTCTCTATTGCCCTCCATCTCATTTTTGAGACAGGGTCTCTCACAGAACCTCAAGCTCACAGACTGGCCAGAAAGCTAACCTGCTAAGCTAACTTAGCAGGCCAGAAAGCCATTGGGATCCTCCATTCTCTGCCTTCCAAAATCAGGATTAAAGGCATACATGAGCATCTCCGAATTTTTATGTGGGTGATAGGGGTCCTAACTCAGGACATTACGCTTGCATCATCAGCACATTACCAACTGAACCATCTCCCCATCCCTGATGGTGCATGATAGTGTCTTATCAAGCGATACCAAAACCATTATAACTTATCTTCCACTTGACTGAATTAAATTTTTGTGCTTTCTGATGTTAATTCTTTTACCTTCTGCATTGCACTGATAGGATTCTGAACACAATATTTTGTACAACAAAGTCCAACTTGCTTTTCAAAACTTACCTCATTCTCAATATAGCTCTTCAATTTATACTCATCCCACCTAACCCAGGAATGTGTATATATATATATACATACACATATATATATATATATATATACATATATATATATGTGTATGTATGTATAGAAACACTTTTCCTACCTCATGCTTTTCTCATTATCCTGTCAGAAGCTGTATTAGAGTAGAACTTATAGTCCTTTCTGAATATGCTCTGAGTTGCTGTCCATTTCAACCTTTAAGATTTAATGCTGAGAAAAAAAAATTTTTGTAACAAGCATGTTATTCATACATTATCTCTGTGTGTGTGATCATGTGTAATCATTTTATCTGTATTTTACAGTGAAGGGGACATTTCTGCTAATTTTAACAGAGAACTTTATTGAAGCACAAGACTCAAATATACATGAGAACAACAATTAGGAGGGTATCTTATTTACAAAGGCTCAGTTCACTTTAAACTCACATGTTGAATATCACAATCAACACAACAAGTGTCATCCACAAATGTGTTCTCAGTTGTATATCCATTTGGCATCAGAACAATGACACAGATTACACAGAGTTGGGTAAAATTAAAGAGGTACACTGAAACACGGAATCAACTGTGAAACCAAAGCATTATTTGAGGGTCGGTCATATGACTCAGGAACACAAGGACAATCAGAGGCAAATGGTTAATCATATTAGGTTTTTTGTTCTGCTTCAGGGTGATTTTGGATTGTCAGTTTTGTGTTTTAGCTCCTTAGCTAGTTTTTCAGCCTCACGGAACGCAGAAATAAGTGGTTCCAGATTTACCACCACATCATCATCATCTTCATCATCAGCAAACAGTTCTTCTTTTTGAATATTGTTACTGATATTCTCAAATATTGCAAAAATAAGTTGAATGTTGTCGTTTGACTCCTCCCTATTAAAGAGGGCCATAAATTCGGACACTGAGTCAGAAGCAAGTAGGCGTTTTGTCATAACAAGGTTTTCAGACAAATTCAGTAGCAATTTCAGAACATGAAACCTTGTTTTGGCATTGCCTGAACTAAGTAAGTAGAAAAAGCCAGCCAAATAGTTGACAACCACTTTGTGATAGTCAGAAGTAGCAGTGAGGTGTGTAATCATTGTCAATCCAGACAACTGCTCAGAGGAATCCAAGTTAGAATCAAAGGTATCCTCACAAATTTGACACACATATGTCTCAATCATGTTTAGATCTGGATAAGGTGGAGCCACGCGAACCATATTTTCCAAAAACCTTGTCCTAGCTCGAGAGGATGGATAGTTAAGTAAGGCTTCAATAAGTGAGACAACACCTGAGTTTCTAATGAAATCTCGGGTAAACTGAGAAGCAGTTCTCATGCCCATTGCAATTTTAGATATTTCATGAATAAAAGGGTCACGATTTCTGTCCATCAGTAAAAGAAGTTCCTCAAACTCCTCAGAACCAATTCTAAGCTCACACTGGATACAATTGCAAGACCAGTTCTCAGGCTGTGCACTTTCTCTGGCCTTAAGATGCTCTCGAATTTCCCGGACTGACCGGTAAGAGGGATCATACTGAAATGGGAACTCAGGTCCAGACTGACGTGAACATTCCTGCTCTCCTTCTGGACCAAGTTCCACAAGCTTAGGTTTCCCCCCAAACATTTCGGCAAACAGAGATGCTGCTTCTTTTGGAAATCTGAAGGGGCTTATAGATGGGAATCCAGCCTTTCCCCACGGACCAGGCTTAAACTGAACAGTGACCTCATCCCAGCTCTGAGGTCTGCGGGAAGGATCAGGTTCCTGCTCAGTTGAAGGCATAGGCTCACAAGTGGCCTTGCACACTGGGACAGGATTTGGCTCAAAACTAGCTTCATCTCCTTCCCAGAACCAGGATCCCACTATAGTTTCAGTTTCTGTACCAAGTTTACAATTATCTCCAGTGCCAGTCTTGTTAATTACCTCATCTTTTTCTCTTGACCCAAACTCAGCAACTGACCCTTCCTCCTTTTCTGGATTGGACTCACTGATAATCACAGTTCCAGATTCTTCAGTGGCCTTGTCACTAGCCCAGATCCAGGACTTAAAAGTCATTTCACCTTTATCCTCTGGCTTGGAAACACGGTTTACTCCTGCTTCCATATTGTCCTTTTTCGCAGCCCAGATCAAGGACTCAAAAATTGCCTCCTCATCAGTTTCTGACCCAGTTTCAATTGTCTGTGACCCAGCCCCTATTTTGACTTTTTCAGTCCAGAACCATGACCCAATAACTTTCTCTCCCTTAATTCCAGGAGTGGACTCACAAGTGCCCCTTCTCATTGCCTCTAGACTGGCCTCTTCCTTGCCCCAGAACCAAGATCCAATTGTATCTTCTTCTTCAGATGCTTTCTTGTTGTCTTCATTTATCTTAGTGGCTGGCTGAATTGTGTCCTCATCCCCTGCCCAAAACCAAGAGCCAATTATATCTTCCTCTTCTACTTCTTGCCTGGATTCCTCTCTTTTGGTAGTATTTACAATGGTTTCTTCATTTTCCTTCCAGAACCAAGAATTGAACACATTGTCTTCTAAAGTTGGTAGTTTGATCTCTTCTCCAGTCTCATCATCTATATTTCCCTCTTCTGCAGCCCATAACCAGGACCCTACACTGGCCTTTGTTCTTGGAAAATTATTGGACCAGAGCCATGAATCAACAGTATCCTCTTTCTCTCCCAGATTAGTTTTCAAGCTTTTGCTATTGGTAGGATAAAAGCAGGGTTCTTTTGCCCAGAAGCAAGACCTTTTATTAGCACCCTCAGCTTCTGCCAAAGGCTTGCATCTAGCACCAGCTGCATAGTTCATATTGGGTTGTTCTCTGGCCCCTAACCAAGGTGATGTGAAGAGCTCTTCTTCGTCCTCCAGGCTAGACTTACTGTCAGCTTCAGCCTCCACACTATTATCTACTTTAGCCCAGAACCAGGGTCCAATTATAGGCTCCTCCTCAGCTCCTGCCATGATGTCAGGGCAAGGTTCAGTCCCTAAATCCATATGTGCCTGCTTTTCAGACCAAAACCAAGGCACAAATATTACCCCTTTTGTAGATGCTGACCTGGCCTGTTCTTCAGCCTCTGCACTGACTTCTCCAGCCCAGAACCAGGAATCAGTAACTTCTTTTTCCTCGGACTTTGGCATCTTTTCACAACTGACTCCTACAGATCTCAAGCTGTTATCACCACTGCCCCAGAACCAAGATCCAAAAATAGACTCTTCATCAGCCTGTAAGTCGACGTCTTCTTCATTATCAGTGCAGAACCAGGACCCAACAATGACCTCATCATCATTAGTTACTGGCATAGATTTAGAGGTAGCCTTAGGCCCATTTTCCATATTGGTCTTCTTCCCAGACCCTAAACAGAAACTAACTTGCTGTTCCTTAGCCCTTGGTCTGGATTTATGACAGGTACCAGAGTCCACACTGGCTTCTTCTTCACTCCAAAACCAATCTCCAACAAAGGGCTCCTCGTCTACATATAGGGTGGGTTTCATGCTTACCCTATTCATCACTGTGGGCTCCTGGGTATCCCAGAACCAAGGTCCAATGAGGACTTCCTCCTCTGGTCTGGCCTGTTTGATACTTGCTCTGGTCTTAGTTTTGACTTCTTCCTTTGGCACTGCTCTGGTTCTGGGTTCTTTCTTTGTCTTAGACTTTGAAAAAGCATTAGTCTTATCTTCAGGCAAGAACCAAGACTCTTTTTTGTTTACATCTACAGATCCAGACATGACATCACTGGAAGCTTCTCTCTTGGCTTGGTGCCTGGCCCTCATATTGACCCCTTTCCTGGCTCTGGGTTTGGACCTGGATTTGGCTTCTTCTCCAGACCAAAACAGAGATTTTGAATGATTTTCGCATTCAGACCCAGAAGTGGATTCAACATGGACTTCTTTCTTAGGCCTAAACCAGGGCCTATTATTGGGCTCTTCTTTGGGCCTAGACCAGACTTTGGTCTTTTCTTTGGGCCAGAACCAGGGAGTCTTAACAGACTCATCCTCAGTATCAGAACTAGAAATATTGTAAAACTCTTGCTTGTTTTTGTGCCTGGGCATAGGATTTGCCTCCTGTTTGGCCATGTGCCTGAACCTGGTATTGCTCTTCATGCTTTTCCTAGGACGGAATCTTGTACTGCTTTCATCTCTATTCCAGAAGGAAGAACTTCCTGAGGGTTTGTCTGCCCATTTGAAATCAGAATTCTCATATGCCTCTCCTTTGGGCATAGGCCTGGGACGGTACCAGGAACCCATATTGCTTCCCTCCTCTGACCCAAAAGAAGGCTGGAATCCTGCTGGAGAATTAGCTTTCTTTGGAAAACTCTCAGTGTCCATATTAACAAGTTCTCTATCTACAGACAGGCACTTAGCTTGAGCAACCACCCCAGAATCAGTACTGACCAGTGAAGAATCTGCAGTACTGAGCTGACATTGCTTTCCCACCTTTGACATGGAATCTGCCCTAAACTTACTCGGGGCCCAGGCCTGAGCGTCATTCTTTGACCGTGAAATAGGCATTGCCTTGGGCTTATATTTAGCATATGCCCCAGCTGGTGAACTGGTTTCACTTTTAGGTTTTGTACAAGGTGTAGACTTAGGCTTTACTTTGGGCCTTGCTCCAGTCATTATCTGTGTCCTAACCTTGGGTCTGACCACCATTGGGACTTCATTCTCTGCTTCAGCAACATTCGCATTCTCAACCCCAGGCTTATTTTCTGTCTTTGCCTGGGCACCAGGCTCAATCTCTGCACCAGTCATAGTGTAAGATGGAAATAAGCCTCAATGTATACCCCTTACCAACAGTAAACCTTCAAAAGAGACCTGTTATATGATTGATCTTCACAATGCTTTTCGAAAAATGAGGCTGTGAGATTGAAAGGAATTAGACTGGAATGACAATCCAGTATTCAAGAAAGCTCCTACCCAAGCAGTCTCAGTCAATAACACAGATACAGTGCAGAAGAGGCAAAAACCAAGCTGGAGGAAGATGGACAGGTCCTAGGTGGGGGCAGACCAGTTGATTGCAGTGGTCAGCGGCAACCCCAGCACCACCAAGCAGCCACTGCAGGTGATCTAGAAGAAAAGAGAACGGGGCAATGAGGCTTACACAGCTCTGTTGCCTCCTGTGGAAACTTACACAGAGACACGAGAGCATGATGCTGAGTGGCACAGCTCAGCCATGAGAAAACTCTAATGTTCCTTTTGCCTGCTGGAAAACAGGTACAGGTGGAGGAGAAAGCACACATGCTTTGAATGGGGGAGGGAGGAATCCCTAAATCCCACAATAGTCACTCAAGGGTAACCTCTACTACCCCCACTTAAAAGTGAACCCTCTCCCATACCAACCTTCACTGATGTGGCAGGACTCTCCCCTCTTCTCTGTGTTCAAGTAGTGTTAAGACCAACAGCTGACTGCAAGAAATCCTACAAGAGCATGAAACAAAATGGAGTCTCAATGTGTGTTAGAAGGGCGAGGATCCCTGAGCCCAACAAACAACAAAACCATGCCTGCTGTCTGTCTAAAGTTTCTGCCCCTGGTCCCAGCACTCAGGTCTTGTCCTGTGGATCACAGTCTAACTCACACCTATCTCAACACTCTTAGTATCTCTACAGGAAATAAAGGATGCTATAGCAGTGAGCAAATTTAGGGGACAGTAAACCCTCTTGGGTTGCAGCAATCTGAATTTGCCTCCTCAGTAGCTGGCTCCTGCCTGCACGGTCCCTGAGTTTCACCAACCTCCAGAGATCAGAGACGGTCTCCTCGATGCTTCTTTCCTTTCTTGCAGAAAGGACCTGCCTTAAAGCAGGCCTGTG